GCGCCTCACCCGGCTCTGACCTACAGCCACAGGCATGAAACACCCCTGATTTATTGCTAAGCCCATCATCGGGGGGTTCTTCTCTGCCGCCAGCACCGTAGCATCCCCGCCACGGGAACTAGTCCCTCCCCAGCCACAGCCTCTGCACCAAGCCCTGCTCGCAGCGGGATGCCCGAGGAAAACACCTTCTCAAGAGCACTTGGAAATGAAACCAAGTCTTCAGGGCGCTGGCTAAAACCCCGGTGTCACAGCTCATCACCTCGCTGCCTCCGAACTGCCTTTAAAAACCAGGCAGGAGCCGGGCACCGGGCCCCACCGCGTAGCTCTCGTGTCCCCAGGGAGAGCTTCGCAGTGGCACCACGCTGCTCTCGGCATCGCGGGGCTGCTCGTCCCCACGCCAGTCGATATATTGACTCCTCCTCAGAATCACAGAATCCCAGCATGGCAGGGGTTGGCAGGGACCTCTGTGGGTCACCCAGCCCAACCCCCTGCCCAAGCAGGGTCACCCAGAGCAGGCTGCACAGCACCGCGTCCAGGCGGGGCTGGAATATCTCCAGAGAAGGAGACTCCACAGCCTCCCTGGGCAGCCTGGGCCAGGGCTCCGTCACCCTCAGAGGTGTTCCAGTGCTCCGTCACCCTCCTGCAGCCTGAACTGATCCCTGAGCGCTGGGGATTAAAACGCACGAGCTGGCATCAGCGAAACCCGGGCATCGTGTGGCTCGGTGGGGACGGCATCGCCATGGCCAAAGAAAACATCTGCCCCACCAGCAGCTCTGCAAGAACAAGAGCAAGCAAAGCAACAGAGGGGGAAAAAAACCTCATGTAATTTGGTATTTGGATAGAAAATGCTCCAGTCCCTGCTGCTGAATGATAACGCCCCATCAGACGAGCTCAGTCTCCGCACAGGGCACTATGGGGGTGGCCGGTGGCTTTGCGAGACCCCTCTCAGCTCCAAGAGCTTCCCCCGGGGGCTCTGCCAGCCCCTGCGAGCTGGAGCCGCGGCAGATTTCGCAAGCGGGCACAAAAAGCTTCCCAGGGCGTTTTGCCTCCGGCAGCCTCGGCCAGACGCCGGCAAATTCTTTCCGAGCATCTGCTGCTCATTCCTACAATGTCAGCTTTGATTCCCCGGGACCCCAGTCGCTCCCGCTCCGGCGCAAGCGCCGGTGTGAGGCACCAACATGCCCAGCTCCGAGCTGGGAAGAGCCGGGATTGCAGGGAGAGAACCCCTGGAACGCTGCGTCACCCCACAGCCCCAGAAGGAACCTCCACCCCGGGCAATTTTGCAAGGGGTTTTCCATCCAGAGAGCAAAACTGGCCGGAAAAAACACTGGGAATGAGGAGTCGGGCACAGATCAGCCTCCGCAGCGCCAGGAGATCCAGGTTTTCCAGCTGCATTTCCCTTGCTATGGCAAAAAGAGCATTAAAACTCCATAGGAACGCACTGCAAACCCCTTATGCACTTTGTAACTCCAAGGCTACGAGGAGAAAATTCCT